TCAGTCAGAGGGGAAAGTGTTAGATTTTAGGAAGTTCTCTCTAGACCGGAACTTCACTGAAGTATGGATGTATAAAAGGTATTGTGTCTATACTGCATACCCAAGGGCATAGCCAGGGCGCCAACTCATTTTGAAAATTAGTAAATAAAAAGAACTGTCTGGATAAGCTGTCTCAGAGCTACCGAAAGTTGTTAGTTGTTGAGGTACAGTTCTCTCTCTCTCTCTCTCTCTCTCTCTCTCTCTCTCTCTCTCTCTTTGAGACAGGGTTTCTCTGTGTAGCTTTGGAGCCTATCCTGGCACGAGATCCTCCTGCCTCTGCCTCCCGAGTGCTGGGATTAAAGGCGTGCGCCACCAATGCCTGTCGAGGTACAGTTCTTAATTAAAGAGTTTCAGCAGAACCAGGCGGCACATTTAATAGTAACTCTAGAGCAGTGTTTCTCAACCTGTGTGTCACAACTCCTTTGGGGGGGGTCAAACAGCCCTTTCACAGGGGTCACCTAAGAGCATTGGAAAACATATTCACAATTCATAACAGTAGCAACATTATAGTTGTGATGTAGAAAAAACAATTTTGTGGTTGGAGCCACTACAACATGAGGAACTGTATTAAAAGAGTCACAGCGTTAGGGAGGTTGAGAACCACTACTCTAGGTATTAAGACCATTGAGTGATAGACTGGCTTGAACTTGGTAATGAAGAGTCAGGCTGGCAGCATCTGAACCAGTGTAGAATAATAAAGAATTCTGTGTCTTCTAGTGTGACTAGCTACAACAAGACACCTGACTAAAAGCACCAAACCTCTAGTCCATACAGCCCTAACTTCCAATTTAGAGACAATAAGGAAGAGAACAGATTACCTGGTCAAACAAGAAGCAATGAACCTAAGATGTGTATGCTTTCCCTTGGTGTCCAACCAGCAAAGTGGCATTAAAAAAAAGAGGCAGTGCATTTTGAATATTGAATAAGACTGGAAAGACATAGGTCAGATGCACTGGGAATTCTAGATCATGAGTTGAGCAAACATGAAGCAAGACAAAAAGTCTGCCTGGGACAACAGTCACCTGAACTACATATGCAAACTCATGGACAAGACACATGATTTAACGCAGTGTGGCTAGCAGCATGCTAAGCACTTAAAGTCCAGGTATTGTGGCCTCTCCAAATTAAAACAAGATTTAGTTTAAAATACAAGACTTTGAAGTCTGAGTTCCTAGCTGCTCTGGCTGAACTCAGGGATGAGGCAAGCATACTGAGATGTCAGTGCTGAGGCTGTGGAGAGATGGAAGGATCCCTGGGGTTTACTTGCTAGCCAGTCTAGCTGATTGAAGGTTAGTGAAAGATCCCGCTCAAAAAGTAAGGTAGGCAGCTAATGTCAAGTCAGCCTCTGGCCTCCAGTGCAGACACATGCACACAGACATGTACACCCAAAAAACTCCATCCTGGGAAGCAGAGGCAGGCGGATCTGAATTGAGGTAGACCTAGCCTACACAGCAAGTTCCTGGCCAGCCAGGGCTACAAAGTGAGACCACCACCACTAACTAGAAATTGATAAGTATAATCTTGCCTAGGTCGTGTTTTTAAAGCTTTCTGCATATTTAAGAATGAAGTGAGTTGTGTTTGCAAGCTTATGAACATTTTAAAATTACTTTCTTAAAAGTAATAAAGACTTTTTTATGGGTGTTGATGTCAAACACAATGATTCTCCTGTGACCACTCTCGTGAGCTGTTGTTCTACACTGCATCACACAACTGATCTTTCTTCTGTAAACATAAAATAGAACCAAATTCAAGTGTCTTTATTCCCAACTAGTCCATTTACATACTGGGGTCTTCAAGGTATGATAATCCAAAATTTCTCAAATAAAATCTGAAATTTGATAATATTTGAGATAAATTTCTAGGAAACATTGTTGGTGCCTCTCTCTCTGTCTCTCTCTCTCTCTCTCTCTCTCTCTCTCTCTCT